TAGGTGCCTTAGACCACTGAGCCATCTCACCAGCCCCTATAATTAAGGATTTGTAAATGACCAAGCAGATACCTTTGGATCAGAGGTGAACAACTGTGAAAATGGGAGAATTTGAAACTTACTACCAAGTGACCAATCAGAGTATAGACACAGCACATGAATACTATGCATGCTTGATAACAGATGTGTCTAATATCTACCTTCATAATTCAATATGTCGGGACTGGGGGTATAGCTCAATAGCACAGTGCCAGCCTGGCAAGTATAAGGTCCTGAATTCAGTTTCTGGTACAGAAAAAAAAAAAAGAATCAGTATGTCCTATGAAGCGTGGTGTGGTGGTGCATGCCTGTAATCCCAGCACTCAGGGAGACTGAAGCAAGATCTCCAAGAGTTCAAGGCCAGCTTGGGCTACACAGTGAGTTCAGAGCTAGCCGAGCTACATAGCAGACCCTATCTCAATACCCACCCCACCACCAAAACAAAAGTTGTATGTTATAATGCACTGTGAGCAGGATCCATGGACAAGAAGTGCTCTTTTAAGGAGAGTTCTAGGCCAGGGAGATGGCTCAGTAGAATAAGTGCTTGCCTGGCAAGCACAAGGGTCTGAGTTCAATACCTGGTTCCACCAAGGAAAAAAAGAAAACAAACCAAAAAACAGAGAGTTCTATTGCTGAGAGATTGGGTCCAGTGGTCTTACAGGAAGTGGAATGCAAGAAATTTGGACTGGAATTCAAGGCTTGCAGAATTTATGACAATGTTCAAGAAGATGACGTGACATTTATTTGAATAAATTAGTTTTTTTTTAGATTTTTATACATAAATTAACAAATGTAGATGGTTGTACATGAAAAACTAAGAGAACCTCTGAAAATAATCTCTGTTGTATCTTTTGAAACAAAAATTAATATGAGACCCAGTTTTCTAGAAAATATAGTGTTCTTCCAGGCCACAATCCTGTTAGTACCTTTTCTTTCTTTCTTTCTTTCTTTTTTTTTTTTCCTTCATTTGATATAGGATCTCACTATACAGCTTAGACTTGTAATGATCCTCCTTTTTCAGCCTCCCTAGCACTGGGATTATAGGCATGCATCACCACGCCTGGTTTTGGTGGCTGGCATGGCACAGAGCTGGTCATGGTATGGGGCTGGTGTGGCACGCAGTACCAGGGATTGAACCCAAGTGGGTCTTTGTGCTTACCAGGCAGGTGCTTAGACTGCTTAGCTATCTCTCTGACCCTGTTAGCACCTTTTCTTACCAGGCCCCACTTTTTTTTTTTTTAATATGTATTTCAGGCTGACCCTGAATGCATACCTCAACCTCCTGTGCGGGGATTACAGGCATGTGCCACCATACCCGGCCCAGGCCCCATCTTCTAAACATACATAGCTATAAACTCATTAGTAGACTGATCACTGATGAGTGTAATGAATTGGACTTCCAAAGTCCAATTACCTTCCAAAAGGACCATGGTATGAGGCTTTGGGGGGCACATCTTTTTTTTTTTAATCTTTTTTATTTATTTTTTTCCCAGAACCGGGGATTGAACTCAGGCCCTTGTGCTTGCCAGGGAAGTGCTTA